AGTCATGCCATTTGGCCTTACGAACGCTCCAGCAACCTGGCAAGCCCGGATTAACGAAGTACTCCGCCCGTTCCTGGATATCTTTTGCACTGCCTACATAGACGATATACTCATCTATTCAGACGACTTGACCTCGCATCGTAAGCAGGTCGAACAAGTGTTCGAGGCTCTCGAAAAAGCCGGCTTCCAGCTGGACATTAAGAAGTGCCAGTTCGAAGTCCAGGAAGTCACCTATCTAGGCATGATTATATCAACGGATGGAGTGAGAATGGACCCTGAGAAGACCTCGGCTATCACGAACTGGTCTAGGCCAGCTCACCTCAAAGACCTCCAGGCGTTCCTTGGCTTCTCGAACTTCTACCGGCGCTTTGTTAAGGATTTCTCGAGGTTAGTTAAACCATTGAATTTACTATCTAAGAGAGGCGTAAGGTGGGAATGGACCTCGACTTGTGATAAATCGTTTCAAGCACTTAAGCAAGCATTCACTTCTGCACCAACACTTAAGCACTTCGACCCAGAGAAGGAAGTCATTGTCGAATGTGACTCCTCCGACTACGTCTCGGCCGGCATCTTGTCCCAATACCACGATGGAGTTCTCTACCCTGTTGCCTTTATGTCAAAAGTCCTCGACCCCGCGGAATGCAATTACGAAATCTATGACAAGGAACTACTTGCCATAGTACGTTCCTTCGAGTCCTGGCGCTCCGAACTTGTGGGAACCGCGTACCCTGTGTCAGTAATCACTGATCACTCCAACTTGAAGTACTTTATGACTACTAAGCAACTGACCCGCCGTCAAGTCCGGTGGAGCGAGTTTCTCTCTGAATTCGACTTTGTTATTAAACCTGTACCTGGTAAGAAGAACACCAAGTCCGACTCACTTACTCGTCGATCCCAAGACCTCCCGAGCCGAGACGACGACCCTCGGATTATATACCAACAACAGTCACTTCTCAAACCTCAAAATTTAGACCCTGCCATTCGCTTAGCACCTCTAAACGAGGAAGAACGACCCACTGAACAAGAGGAACCAGAACCAGAACCAGACGAGCAGGGAACTGAATCCGACGACCATATCTTGACTAGGATGTTAGAGGAGGGGTACAAGGAAGACCCTTTCTGGAAGAAGACTTCTAAGGAAATGAACAGAGAAGACCGCACACCACACTCCAAAGAAGTCGCATTGTCCGAGTGTCGGATCGACGACGGCAGGCTATACTTTCGGGACAGGCTATATGTCCCAGATACAGAACTACGAGTATGGCTTCTCCAAAGAGCCCACGACTCGGTCGAGAGCGGTCACCCAGGCAAGAACAAACTATTCGAGCTCATGTGTAGACATTATTGGTGGCCGAAACTTTACCGCGATATCACCCAATTTTGTAGAGCCTGTACAAACTGTCTTCGGAACAAGTACTCCCAGCTACGATACCAGGGCACTTTAAAATCACTCCCAATACCGCTTCAAAGATGGAGAGACTTATCAGTCGACTTTATGGGCCCTATTCTGTTGGTCGATGGATTTGACCAGATTATGGTCGTTACAGATAGGCTCACTAAGGATTGCCACATTACACCATGCAACAAGGATATGAATGCAGCCGAGCTGGCTCGCTTATTCGTGCGAGACGTCTGGAAGCTTCATGGACTACCAGACACTATCGTCTCTGACCGGGGTTCCTTATTCCTCTCAGACTTTTGGAAATCCGTCTGCGAAGTACTACGGGTTCGAGTTGATCTCTCTACTGCATACCACCCAGAAACTGATGGCCAGACCGAAGTCGCTAACAAATCCATTTCCAAGTACCTACGTCAGTACATCGACTTCGCCCAGACAGATTGGGTTCAATTCCTACCCTTAGCCGAGTTTGCTATGAGAAACGTAGTCAGCTCTGCAACTGGCATATCTCCGTTCTTTGCAAACAACGGTTATCATCCTCGCATGAGTTTTGGGCCACCTCGATCACCTACGCTCACCTCTCAGAACGCTCTTGCGGGAAGAACTTTTGCTCGGAAGATGGAGGAGATCTTGGGCTACTTACGTACTAATTTGCTTACTACGAGGGACCGTATGGAGGAATCTGCGAATGCGAACCGATCACCAGCCCCAGCGTACAGAGTAGGTGACATGGTTATGTTAAGCACAAGGAATATCAAGTCAGCGAGACCTATACCGAAATTCGACGCCAAGTACATTGGCCCCTACCGAGTACTTCAAATCATGAACTCCCACTCCTATAAGCTGGAGCTTCCCTACGAATTACAGTCCATCCACCCGGTTTTCCACACTAATTTGCTACGCCCCGCCGCCGGCGTCCCGATGCCAGGGCAAGTCAACCTAGCACCTCCACCTGTGACAGTAGACGATGGAGGACATGCTCTATGGGCAGTGGAGGAGATAGTAGACTCGAGGAGGAAGGGTAGAAAATTCGAATATCTGATAAGATGGCGAGGTTATAGCCAAGAGGAGAACTCATGGGAGCCATTGGTCAATGTTATCTATAGCGTAGCCTCGATACGTACCTTCGAGACTAGATTCCCTAATAAGCCTAAACCGACAAAGAACGAACGGTTGAGAGCTTTTGCGGAACGAGAAAAGGTGTAGGAAAGAGGGACCTTATGTAACAGATTTGATTCAGTGAATTCGAGGCTTGGTGTCGGGTAGATTTCGGGAAACAAGGCACTGTAGATAGATAAGTAGCACTTCTGCTTGGAGAACTCTTCTCTCCTCGCAGACAATCTAATCATACACCCTGACACCCCCCTAGGCGGACCTACTATAAAAGTCTATACTATTACTATTATAACTCTACTAAAGATCTTTTAAAGCTATAAGAAGAAAGAGTTTACTAATTATACTATATCCTTTATATAAGATAAAACGATAGGTAGGTACTATAAGACTTATACTACTACTCTTAAAAAAACGTTTAAGGAAGTAGCTACTCTTTAGAGATAGCCTTAAGCTATTTTAGCTAGGTCTCTAGATAAGCTTCTCTTATATAAGATTTAAAAACTATAGCCCAAATTACTTAAGTAGAATAGTATTTTTACTAGAGTTTTAGTAAATTAATATTATATAAAATTAATAGTAAAAGAATAAATAATAGTAAATAGTAATAGTATTTACTAAATATAACTATAAATACTAAAACTTATTCCTATTTAATATCTCGAAATGTATAAACCTAAGTAAGTCTTTTACTTAGAGGTTAATAAACCTTAAAGTCTTACTAACCTTTCCTTATAAGAGTACTATTACTTAAAAGTAATCCTAGTATAACTATTAACCTCTAGTAAAGTTTAAGCCCTTACTAGATTAAATAGATAAGGTTTATTAATTAGATACTGTGACGGTTCTCACCGCCACCACGCTACAGACCAGCCCTGGCTGGAACCCGGCGGCCACCATGCGTCAAACGAGCCCCTGGCTGAGACTCGGCTAAGGCATGGCCCTTGGCGCCACCTCCTGTATTTAAGAGCCTCTGGCTCTTGAGCTTCTGTCCTTCCTTCTCTTCTCTCCTTAGCTTAGAATCTTCGAATAGACAGTTCTACGATTCCATAACCTACACCTTGGACGCTCCTTGTGCAACATATCGTACGTGTCGTCACAGATACTAGTAAATCTTAATTTATAGGACGTTAAATTACTTTAACTTATATTACTAAAATTAGTAATAATTACTTTTAATACTATTAAAATTCCTAATTTATTATATTATTAACTTCTTTCTTAGGTATTCTAGGTTCTATAATTGTCTCTATATCTTTTGTCACGAATCACGTGTTAACACGTGAAGAGTGAAGACCAGGCGGCGCCCTGACAGGTCAAGCACATCCGTAGACTTATAGCAAATAGGGATCGGCTAGGCAAGCTAAGCGATCCAGGGATTTCCTTTGGTTATAATCACGTGACAGTTGGGTCGCCTGGAGCGACTCTAGCGATCCAACTGTTGGAACAAAAGAACGGAAGTTCTATATAAGACTGGCACGTCTGCCATTAGATAGGAGCTTCGTGCTCAACTTAGTTATCAATCTTATCATATTTGTTTTGACATCTTTGATACAAGTAACGAGTTCACTTCCAAGTGAACAACCCGATAGTCTTCTTCTTATCATAGCATACCAACCAGCGAACACCCAGCCAAGTTTAGTTAGCCAGTTTTAGTATTTGTTACATACACAGTTACTTATTTAGCTCCTGCGGGCAGCGCTAAAGAAAAGAGTAGAAAGTTATAAGCCATCATCTTGAAATCACGCCAAGGAGCGCCGTAAAGGAAGTAGGTGGCATATGTATCTGTTAGATTAGTAGACCTTTCTTAATGGTTACTAAACACATAAGCTAATAAACGCAAGATATATAAATATTCTTTAGTATCTAATATATTTTCTTTAGTCGATAGAGGTTTCCCACTGCCTAGACGCTATCCCCACAATGTGTTGTAGGCAAAATTTAATGGATAACCCCGCAGATAACAAAGTAACACAAAAGTATACTAGTAAGCGTGGGGACGAAAGGAGGGGGAATAATATATTGAGGTGTTCGGGTATGATTTGTGTAACGCGAGGTTGATTGGTCTCTGCAAGAACGATGCTGGGCGCTGCAGAACAGTCGAATTAGTAAGCTAAGCCTTACACGGAAAGGCTTGAAGCTAATACGTCCGGGACATGTTTGAGTGGTTAATCCAGTTGCCTACAATACGTCCAAATTTGAAGTCACACAAATACAGACCAGTCAGTCCCTCAGACAGGATTGGCAATATAAACCACGGCTATAAGCGGTACGTGTCGATATTGGGAAAAGAATGCCAGCATGTAAGAAGTTGATAATTCCCCTCTTCGTGTTTTCCACAAAATAACAAGCTGCCTTATCTTTAACCGCCTCACCGTCTATTTGAGCTTATAAATTTCACCCATCCCCTTATTTGCAGAACCACCTCTGATCTTTAGAATCTATAATCTTGCATCGTATGCTATTTTTCAATCCCTCCGAAGACCCTAGCTAAACAATTCCGAAGATGTATACTATATATACGGACTATTACCGTTGTGGTCATCGAGTACGCGAGACTAGAAGGGTCCCGGATGGATGTCCTAATCCTCAAACCTGCGTACCATCCTATAGAGATGGCAGAACTTTAACCGCTCATTGCGGTGCTCAGGCATGCGACTCGCCCCCTTCCTCTTGAGCAGCCCCACTCCGGAAGGTCAGTTCGTGAATTCAAAGCTACCAACACTAAGATGCTAACAAAATTGAAAGGTCTGAGTTCTTTGAAGAGGGAAGAGCTTGCAATCCAGCGGAAGCACGGGTCGGGTGGAAGGATGTCAGAAAGGGGTATGTTTGAGTCGCGTTTGGGCTTCCTTTAGTTGCCCTCCAGTTGTGATTTGGCCGCAGTCTTATCAGCTGCCCTGTCTGCTGCTTCATTCCCCCAGATGCCTATCTAGGCTAGGATCCATCTTATCTCAACTTGTGTTCTCCTGTTACATTTTAGCTATTTCCGAGTCTGATGCGATTAATGTGCTCAGTCCTCGCCACAGTAAGTTGCAGCCTAATGCTAACAGTCCGACCCATTCCACTTATGAACCTCATTCACGACTTCTAGGCAGCTTTCCACATCACTTCCATTCCATTTTCATCTCTCATAATAATCGAATCATCAAAGAACCCATCCCTGGCATTCACTGCGTGATTGACCCTAACCTGGTCCGTCGTTCCCTTCCTTTTCTGACAGCACCTTGGCACAGCGAGCACCTTCTTGCCAATATATTCCGTCGGGTCGATATCAAAAGGGTTGTACCTTTTTGCATATACGCCGTTATCATCTTCGATTTCCACAATGTTAATCTGCAGGACATCTGGGTCGGGGTCGTCGGGCGGGACCAGGTGGTCGAATGTAACCCCATAGTAATCAATCATACTACAGTAAAAGGAGGGTCAGCGTTTGCCCTTGAAGAGAAGAAGCTTATAAAATAACTACGTACACCTTCGGTCTGGCCTCGACTAACCAACCTGTGTATTCATCCCGTACTACCATGTCTCCAGCGACGTCCGGCCGTACATCCCGGTTGTATATTTCCCGGAAGGCTAGCTTTGCTAGCTCAGGGCCACCAGGCAACGGAAATTCATGGGAGTGGTGGGAAATGTGCCATGATACCTTTGGGAGAAGCTTCTGAATAGCCAGCAGGGGGGACCTTCGATCTGGATTCGAAGCGGTTGCTCAGAGGACGGTGGGTGGAGGCGGTGAGGGGGGTTCGTAAGACATGGTGGTATATAGAGCGGGAGAGCTGTTTGATTTGAGGGTGGGGGATGGAAGCAGTGGACGTTCAAACTATGGTTGGAGTTGGTGAGGCATGGAATGTCGGGGAGGTTCATCATGTATGGAAAATGTTGGATTGGTTTCCGAGCACGGACATTGCACGGTGATAGGAACACGGTAACATCACGTGATCCGCTCTCAGATTCCCATGCCGTTTGATTATCTAGATTAATAGGCATTGCGTTTACCAAATCGCCTAAAGAGGAAAACTTAGAACGATCTACCAAAAAGAAAAGAGCAGGCTATAGATGAGCTGAACACCTTATTGAAAGGCTACCCAATATTTGCACACTCGTCGAATGGAAACTCGAATGGAACCCTGGTTACAAACTGATTTCAAAACCCAAAATTAGCTAGGCTCCTTCAAGCTAAGCGACGATTAGACAAGTTCGTAATCTTAAGCGGCATCTTCCTATCATAGCACTTCAAAAGCGCCTTTACACAGATGCCTGGCACATCAAATAATCTCAACCTACGAAGAGAGGCTCCTTGTCACGGAATCAAGTGCAAGTACGTGGACAGTTACGACTTGGTTGAACTGATTGATTACAAGGAGAGAAGATATTTTGATGGAGATCTGTCTGGTTCATCTATAGTTGTGAATAGTTTCATAAAGGTATCCACATCACCTGATCTAACTCCTTGACAATTATTCACTCACATCTTCCCCCCTCCAAAATGACTATACTTTAATTCTATAAGTTGATTCGATGATTGACAGTAACGAACCCACAACGCATCACATTTACTCAAGAACAAACATACTACCTTCCCAACCATAAGTACGATTCAAACGTCTTCCAATACGTCTGGCACTACGGAAGGGTATTTTACCAACAGGATGTGGCTCGTGAAATTGAATACTTCTTTCTGCCTCTAGTAATGCCGGCGTAAATTGCCAAATTGAACCGTGTGGCTTTTCTGGAGTGAAGCCAGTTGCGGACATGGCAAATAAAAAGTCCGCCTATGAAACCTCACCTAGGAAATGTGTTTGCGAAGGATTGAAAAATAAAGTCTTGAAAACCTTGAGCACTCGGTTCTTGACTCGGAAGAGTGGTTTTGCCTCTGTATTGGTATCCAATGGGTCCCCTTCCTTAGTTAAATTAGCTTCTGCTAAGGGTGTGTTTGTAGTGCCACGTGTTTTTGGCTTTACTTTTAGAACAGATGGGGTGAAACTGGTTTCCGGGGCTGATGACTGGAGCTCCAATTTTGAAAAGGATTCCTGCAGGGCAGAGACAGGTGTGGCGGTATGTTTTGACTGGATAGGCGCAACCCACTCAGGTGTTCGTTCTAACTGGTGAGTGTGTTCAAACAAATGACTCACAACTTGTTGGGGGGATTGGCCTATCCGGCGCTGAACATATGTGTCCACGGCATTCCACAATGAATCAAGATTTGTTTCTGCCTTCCGCATTTGAGTAACGTTGTCTTGGGTTCTTCGCTTATCCGAAGGATGTGAAAATCGACCAGCGACTGGGCCACCCAGTGTGCCAAATGTGGCGCCTTTGATGGCAGGAATAATCTGTTGCGTGGGCGACAATCGTCGGGTTAATTCTGTCATGACCTCATCCTGGTAGGGCAACCCTTCTTGTTCAAGTGCTGCCGCCCACGGTTGATATATGTCGAGTTCGTGCCGAACTGCCGCAACCAGTCCTAGGTCAGAGAAGACTTGGGATACCCAAGATGACATCGAAGACACGCCGGGAGTACTGCTTTGGGCGATATACTCTATCTCATCAACGAGATTGGGTAGTCCCAAGAGAAATAGCTGTTTTTCATCCCAAAGTTGAGTAAATAACTATACCAAGGGTGTTGGCGCCGACTTACTTTGCACACGAATCACCGTAGACCCAGGAACATGAGGCTGACGCACAAACTGTGAACGCACGGGAGGAGATACAACCAGACCATGCTGAAGCACATGAATAGGGCGGTCTTTTGCATGGTCTAGCAACTGCTCTAGGAGGACCAATGTTTGAGATACTCGACCGGCAACCTTTCTCCAGGTTTGATCTCCTCGTAGTATTTGACCTGGAGGAGTGCTAGTTCGCCCAGGACCTTCGCCATTTGATCCTATACTACCAGAGACCAGTATGCATCGGTTACCACATTCCCAATGACCCGGTCCCAAAATACAGATTGACTCAAAACGGGGTGCTGGTGTCCGTTTGTGTCCAAAAGTTGCTCTTGACGATGCTCGCCCCATTCTTTGAGGAAGTCAGCAAAGTATCCAGGATCTTCACGCATACTGTGAATGTGGTCTTCGGCGCTGGAGCGTCTGGCAGCGGCAATCAGCCCAAGGCGACGGAAGTCAACACAAGCGGGTAGACGATAGGGGGCGTCAGTGGCCACGGAGGTGATGAGACTATATTCGGCAGCGTCTGCCAGTGATGGAGGCTCTGGTTTGATTGGTGCCGCGAGCAATGTATCCGAGTTCCAGTCGTGCAGTATCGCGCGACAGCAGTCCACAAGGAAGCGGAGTATGCGTTGTTGAATCTCCAGAATCATCAGCCCTTCTCCTGGCGGGTGCGCAATTTGTGTTATCATCGCATTGCAAGCTTCATTATCGTCATCCCAGGAGACTACTCGACCGTAAGTCTCCACACTCTCCCCCAGGAGATACATGGTATGATTGTTGAGAAAGGGCGGCATCACAGCTTCACTGATGTGACCAATCCTCGTCGCCGCAAAGTCCGCGTGAGCGAACATGCGTGGGGGGTTGCGGCCTCTGCTGTTGAGCATCAGCAGCAGCGTCTTGCCTCGGACCAGATCCTCAACATTGATATACGGCCACATGTACCAATCTCGATATTCTCTTCTTGATCCCTCAGACCGTATCTTGGATCCCTCACGCCGCAGAGCCTCGAAATCGGGTCGATGCATGGTTGCCATGTTGGGCCACGCTTTAGCGAAAATCGTCGTACGGTGTTTCTTCGTCTTCTTCGCCCATCGTTTCCGCAGTGTCTCCTCGTGTCGTCCCAATATCTCTGTCAGGGTCAACCAGTTGGATAGCAGATCTGTTGATCGTTCGCGAGCTTCGGGTGACTTCCTTTGCGGTGGGGGTGAAGGAGGGGATGGGTAGACCAAGACCACGAAGGTCCTCCCGGGAGAGGTTCGGGTAGAAATCAGTTGCTATTTCTCTGAGTTCCGTGTCTTCTCGATGATAGAGGCTCTACTTACCGTTCATGACGAGCGACAATAGCAGAATTGTGCCCTACTACTCATTTGGGTTTAGTCAGTGGTTTCGTTTGTCGCTCGTTGTTGGTTAGGGGAGAGGTATCGTCGCGAGCTTGAGCCTCGGCCGGACCTCGGGAAATTCGTAGACCATCAGGGATGTGTATTTTGAGAGTTGCTGTGTTCGAAAATTCCTACATAGGTTGTAAAATATATTTCTTAAAAAAGCATACAACTAAACCTATATACTTAGAAGTAATAGAGGCTTAAAAAAGGTTGTGAATTAGAAGGCCTAAGTAGGAAATCTTAAATAGGAAATCTTAAATAGGAAAGCTTAAATAGGAAAGCTTGAATAGGAAAGCTTAAGTAGGAAACTCTAAAACATCTAATTCAAGATAAAGATATTTCATCTTAAGTTTATATAGTAAGTTTTATGACTTAAAAGGCTTATAAATGCAGGTAATACATCAATAATTCTTGTTTTTATAAGAGACAACTTTTACAATGAATGTCAAAGCATCAAATTTTGGCAAGCGACGAAGTGAAAGAATAAGAAGAAAGAAGAAGACATTATTTCATAAAGCTTTTCTCCTTGGAAAGGAAGACGGCATTGAGATTGCTATGATAGTTCTACAGCAGGGGCGATATTCCACTTATAGCTCTATAAGTAAAGACACCTGGCCCCCTTCTATGGAAGAAATTGTAAGTGGCCTAGCACAAGTTCGAAATTTCTACTAATATAATTTTATAGCAAGACACGTGGCCAATTCCAAAGAGGCTGTTTCCGCAGGACTTCGATAAGGAGTCTGCTGGTTAGCGTACACAATCTACAATATTCCGTTGATGTCTTTCAAGCCTTGACGCCAATAACTATGCTAAGGTGTGCGTTATGATACTGTGGAACTGTTTATCGAGGATTCTAAGCCGAGGAGAGAAGAGCTCGAGAAAGAGCTCGAACCTCAATAGATGTAGCACCTAAAATCTAATACAATAATCATTACACATAATAAAAACCCTAATTTCTGACATGTGTACTACTATGCGAAAACATGTAACACGCAATTTGTAGCCTTTTGACGAATCAGGAGCGCGTATTTGTGTGCCGCACTACCAGGAGAAATCGTGTAATGTACGCAAAAGGCTACTTTTGGAATGGGTAGCACTTGATCTAAGACGTAGACTGTTTCTACTAAAGTGTGAAAGGAAAAAATGTTGATGCTAATATAAGCTTCCTCCGCTCCACAAAAACCACCTAACTCTCGAGAATCTGTAAGCTAACATGTTAAACAAACCCGTGATATGACTATTAAATTAGTTATGACTAATAAGTCTTTACAATTGATAAAGATAGGTTAAATAAAATTAGTACAACTTCAAATTAGTGACTGTTCTAATAAGCTATATTGCTAAATAGTCGGAATAAAATAAGCGTATGCCTAATAAATCTTTCCCTCCTAAATAGTAGACATCTAAATAATTTATACTACTAGTTATAATAATCTCCTCTGTTCATCGGATAATAAAATGCTAGTATAGACATACTTGCCTCTATACAGTACTTCTATCACACTATTCTAAAGTGACAGGAGGTGTTTTTTAACAGAGTGTCTATCTTGAATAATAGTGTAATAAGCACTACATAGAATAGGGTTGTTCTTTAATTAGCAAATTCTCTGTTATATAAAGGCGCCGCAGTTGCTGCCTCTATTTAGGGTCAGCGTTTCCCACGCCATTCTCAACATCTTACAAACGCATCAATTCTCACGGCGAAATCTATATCATGCTGAAAGTTATTCGCACCTTGGACTGTGGCTCGTGTCCTATCAGTTCCACTGCTTTCTCATCGAACGGAAGATTATTTGCAACGGCTTCCGAAGACGGGGTAATCAGGCTTTGGCATCCCAACGAAACATTGCCGCCGCAGAAATTTCGCCATGAAGAGGTTTATTGCGTAACCTTTTCACCAAACAACGAGCTACTAATATCGGCTTCAGAGGACGACGATTGGACGGTCTGGCTTTAGAATGTTAAGAATAGAACTGTGCAAGAGAAACTTGAAGGTTACTTTTATCCGGTCGTTTTCTCACCAGACAGTACGATACAAGCCTCACGTCTAACGAACGGCGACGTCGAGTTGCGGGGAGCAATGAATAAGACGCTCAAAGAGCCTCTTCGTATCAAACGGAAGCATGAGATGCTCGACGGCTGGCCTGAGGTCACAGAACTCGCCTTTTCGCCCGATATGACTCTTCTGGCATATAAATACGATAATGGAACACTTAAGCTGTATGAAATGTCCTCCGAGAAAATAAACATATATTTTGGCCACAAGGATTCGGTTATCGCCTTGGCTTTCTCACAGGATGGAGGCATGATGGCATCGGCTTCATACGATGGGACAATCAGGCTGCAGAATATGGAACAAGCCGGAGACATGTTCGAGCTACAGGGGAGCCGAGTTCACTCCCCGAAATTTTCACCGGACGGCAAGCTGCTAGCGTCCGCTTCGTCAGATGACCAGATCAGGCTTTGGGATATCGCGGAAAGAAAATTACTTTACGAGATTAAAGCTACTGGGACTATCGGCGCACTTACCTTTTCTTCCGATTCCATTCGTGTAGGGGTTTATAATAGCCAAGCTCAAAGTTCTTATAAAATCGATATTTGCGAGATTACTAGAGAATAATACTGTATTTATCTAGGGCGGCATAGCCTTTTAGTTGATAGCCTCTCAATTGCGGCGCCATAATCGCTGACACAAAGAGTTAACGCTAACAGGTTTGGTAGAAGAGGAAAGAAGGATTGGAGGAGTAATATGGGTAGCATGGCGTTATCCCAGCGTTCTAGTTGATTTCGGCGATTAAAAGAAAATGCAAATTTATAGCGCCTCTCCAGATTACTACCATTTAATGAAGAGGGGCCATCGTGTCGAGGCTAGCGCACTCAGCTAGGCGAGCAGCCTCGCGGCAATAGCATCGTTAAACATCGCCGGAAGCGCGCGCAAGACCAGCCTAGTATTTGAGACCAACTGAGGCCAGAAAATGCGGTGGCATAATCAAACACTTACTAAGTTACTTATTTACTGGTCCGACGATTATGCAGATGCTAAGAAACGTTTCCCTGGGGACTTGCAGGGTGATAGTAGCATAAATCTTTACGGCAGTCTCCAACATCTCTATCATAATAAACAAAATCGGAATCTTAAAGTTCTTCTTTCGATAGGGGCCCTACATCTACTTCAACAGGAAGGTCGACGTTTGCTTCTTCCGCCGTTTCCTTGGTCAAGAACCTTAGCCTCAATAGACTAGATCTTGACTGGGAGTATCCGGTAGATGATGCTCAAGCCTTGAACTTTGTTCTTCTAACCCAGGCAGTTAGGGAGGCTCTTGATGCTTACGGCACGGCATTGTATCCGCAGTATCACTTCCAACTAGCCTTGGCCTGCCCTGCTGGACCTAAAAATTACCTACGCCTATACTTTAATCGCATAGATCCCTACGTTGACTTTTGGAATCTCATGGCCTACGATTACACTGGACTGTGGAGTACATCCGCTAAGCGTCCTGCACAGCTGAAGCAGTAGAGATCTGGCATTTTAGGCAGAGAGCTAGGCTTAATCAATGCTAGGGCTGTGCTTTTTACCCACCGCGGTGCTCGAATATTGGGACGCCTGAAAGCATTTGCGCTAGGCTAGTTTCAGCTAAGGCCCAACATCACGATGTTACATGTGCTTATGTCACGTGTGCGGGGTTGAGTATCGCTGGAGCTGCTCCTGTCCAAGGTTTCTTCATCTGTTGTCCTAGGAATGGCGTCTTGTTTGAATTAACTGCATTGAAGCGCGTGTATTACAGTGCTTTGGTTTCCGACTAAATAATCGATTTATCATTTGCTAACATTGAGTCAATATACCTAACATTGAAACACGGAATAGCGGCACAAGTATTAGCTTCTCAAAATGATGTTGATACACTTTTAAAGCAAGTAGATTTTACGAACGGGAAATAGTATTAGGCTAATGTATTAAGAGTAGAATGTACGCAAATCTCAACTGAATCAGTAATTATTTTACTAATTTTATTTAAATAGGAGGTGAATAAACCTCCTTTTGATAATTATGACTACAACTAACCTTGTGGTGCTTGATGGTATAGCTGGTAAGTCAACCTATGCTCTTGAACAAACAACTGTGACTATTACTGACCTTGTGGTGCTTGATGGTATAGACTGTAAGTCAACCTATGCTCTTGAACAAACAACTGTGACTGTAGCTGACCTTGTGGTGCTTGATGGTATAGGACGTAAGTTAACCTATGCTCTTGAATAAACAACTGTGACTGTAGCTGACCTTGTGGTGCTTGATGGTATAGACTGTAAGTCAACCTATGCTCTTGAACAAACAACTGTGACTGTTACTGACCTTGTGGTGCTTGATGGTATAGCTGGTAAGTCAACCTATGCTCTTGAACAAACAACTGTGACTATTACTGACCTTGTGGTGCTTGATGGTATAGCGGGTAAGTCAACCTATGCTCTTGAACAAACAACTGTGACTGTAGCTGACCTTGTGGTGCTTGATGGTATAGAGGGTAAGTCAACCTAAAATATAAATTCAATTCTCCTTTCGTTTCTAATTTTATATGAATAGTAGTACAATGATTGGCGATATTCTTTTGACAATTCTTTCGCTACACAAATTCAAGGTAATTAACCTACAAATAAACTTAATTTAATTATCCTGCTTAGCTCTCTTTAGACAAAGCTTCACCCGAATTCGATTGTTTCTCCGACTTAAAATCCCCTCATTGTACCTGCTCGTCATGCCCCTCTATTCTATTTCGACATTGTCGAGTCTCTCTCGCTGGACTGTCTACTATACCGGAAGATTGTCAACTTCGCAACCTCATATTACGCACGGCTAAGAACTACGACATTGAGGGCGATGTAGAAGCTATTGAGCATGGCTCTATATTAATGATACAAACTGGCGGACATCGCATTCTCCAATTGTTTCACAGTCGGGGTTTGTGTTCTTAATTCCTAGAAATAATCTATACTATTTAGTTTGCTAATTTCCGTTTGTTAGACCTTTCTATGAACTTTAATAACGGAACTCAAATTGCCTTCCCTGTCCTACCAACTCCTAGATGTCCCCTACGTTTTGCATTACTTCGCGCATGGCTTCAAAGTTGTGATGAACATGATAAGTGTAAGCCTACCGGAAGCCATCGGTCACCTACCAGACTTCTCTATGTGGGTAACCCGGACAGTTCAACTTACGACCCACGTTCCTTGGAACTCGTTCTCGGTGACGAAATAGCAGGAGAAAAATACATCGCGTTGTCCCATCGTTGGGGTCTCGTTCAGCCTAATAAGGTACCTGAACACTGCACAACCATAGCGAATCTTAGTAGTCGTCGAGGAGGATTTGCTATCGACGAATTGCCATTAACATTCCGGGATGTCGTTGAGGTGGCTCGATGCCTCAAAGTTCAATATCTCTGGCTTGACTCACTCTGTATTGTCCAAGGCTCCGAAGAAGACTGGGAACGAGAATCTAAGTGCATGGAAGATATCTATTCTTCAGCTTATTTTACCCTTGCCGCAACAGCGGCTGTTGATTCTAATAGCGGATTTCTTCAGCGGAATATCACGAGCGAATATGTCTGTATTCAAGACGATTCAGGCCAACTGATGTATACCTGCACTTGCCCGGCGGATTTTGATAGGGAGGTTGATCAAGCTCCACTCAATAAACGAGCATGGGTTATGCAAGAACGATTCTTGTCGCGTAGAACAATTCATTTTGGCGCCAACCAGATGTATTGGGAATGTGGTGAGGGTGTTTATTGTGAGAATCTAACTCGATTGAAAAGGTAAGACCTATAACGATATCTTCTAAATTAATAGATACTGACTTTGCTATTCTACTACTTAGTAATGTTAGAACAAACAAGGAATTTAAACTCGATCCACAGTTTCCGAAACTTCTATTCAATTCAGGATATTCTGCTACTCTAGCCTTTCTCTCCTCCTTCTTGGAAGACTATTCAAATCGTCACCTAACGAAGCCTACTGATAGAGTTCGGGCATTATCTGGGCTCACAGCTCGTATCGAACAAGCTTTGTCCTGTGAGGAGAATTTTAGCATCTTTGAATTGTATCTTCACAGAAATCTCCTATGGGAGCGAACCGGTCCCATGGAACGCATCAATTATGAATCTCAAAAAGTACCATCATGGTCTTGGATGGCTTATACAGGAGGTATCAAATTTATAGATGATCTATATGGAAATTTGGAAATCTTCATCCCTCTTGAGTTTTTTGAGGAGGATAAAAAGATGCTGCAAACTGATGTATGGAGGTTTGAAGAAAATTGCCACTTAGGGGAAGAGTCAGAGGGAGAGTTTAAGACACGTCGCCAGATATTGAATTCACTTGGGCAAAAAGTAGGATGGCTTAGCTTTGATGTAGAAGACAGAAAGGAATTTCGTGGGGAACAAGTTGTTGTTGTAGGGAAGAAACGTCAGGTTGATGGGTCAGAGAACCAGATGTTTCACGTTTTGCTTGTAAGACAGAGCGATGGAGCAGAAAACGAGTTTGAAAGGGTTGGAATGGGAATGGTTCAACAAGGCTACCTTTCGCGACAGCAACGCAATGTCTGTATTATTTGAAACAGGTTTTGCCAGAGCCGGAGTTCAAGCTTGCAGCACGGTTCAGCGCTTTTTAATGACATCTCTTTATTATTTCCAATACTATAAGAATTTTATAGTGAAAGATATAAGAGAATTTAGTAGTTCAAGTAATTCAGCATACATTGTTCTATGAAAGAGTGGAGTGTTTTATGCGAGTCAAGAAAGGAAATGGGTTATACCTATTCATGGAGGTTTCTGCTTCTTATTCTTTTCGCCTTCCTCATAATTTACGATTAGATTTAAGCGTCTTTTTGTCTTACCACCGTTCCTATTCTTGAAAAGGGCGGTTTGAGTTGGGGACTTTATAGGGGCTGTTGGGTTGTTGAGAAGAATATCTTTTGTAGCTTGTTTTCACCCGACATACATAACTGAGACAAAAGGAATAGTTACACTATCTGGTCTCTCCAGAGATAGTTCATCTCCTATTGGCTACCATCGCTTTCCAATCTAAGTGAAGTTGGCATTTCATAGATCAGGCTTATAATGAATTCTATTACAACGTAGTCTCCTCAGTCTAGATGTACAATGTATAGATTATTTCGAATAAAGTAGTTGCCTTGAATTGCCAGTCTGGACGACGAGCGAACGTCTGAAGAGAGCGATGCGAGATCTCGTCGGATACCTTCAGCTGTTGTATTGTAGTTGCACTGTCCACCCAGTCTAGCGCTGAAGATGAATCAGGGCTTGGCTTGATGAGACTAGTTTAGCTGTAGAGATATGCATGGAATAGGGGAATGTCATCACATGATATTACTTCTAAAGCTCTTGCTATCATTATCGAGATCAGAATTCCCGTTGAATTCACTTACGCTTCCCTAATCAACAACTCCTCGGAATCTATCGTGGCTCGAAGGTGTCTTCACCCTGATTACTATTAGTTTAAGTAGATCGATAGAGGCGCTAATCTACATCGTAATTCTTAACTAAGATCCTTTAAAAACCGAAATAAACACATGCTAACGGGAAGGAGATTAATGTGGGTAGGATTCGTTCAAGCAAGTTCTCCCAAATATGAATCTCTACGCCGACCACCTTAGGTGATGGTTCTTGTACTAACAAAATGTATTCCCTTAGCTCACAGACCTTATTGAAGTATGCGAGAGTAATTTCAGAGCAATGTTCTCTCTCCAGTACGTGGCCAGATACAAGGTACAAAGTGTTCGTTGGTGCCAGCCGTGATCCGCAGGCTTCAAAAAGCATCCCCAAGGCCAGAAAGACTCCAAACCCATAAGTAGATGATATATAAGTTCTCAATGAATCCTGTGTCTTATAGTAAAGCTTTACAAGCATCGAAAATACAGAATGCGTAGCTTGTTCTAGGCTGTCCAAAAGATCCTCAAAAAGTATGTGTTCGGCTCTCTTCCGTTCTGTGTTAAGGTGGCGCATCTCGGCGATGAGTAGGGCACAGTGAAGAGGGGTAGAGGTGATATCGTGGAGAAGTTTTCCAGGGAAGCTCTTTAATTCAAGAGTCGTTAACCAAGAGTCTACTCGGCATCTAGATGGGATGTGAACATTCTTTTGAAAAGCCTTGACGTTTCCCGGAGAGGTGACATATGAGAGACGTGGCTTAGTCTCTTGTCGAGGAGGGACTGAATGTTATAATAAGATTCTAGAATATTTTTAGGGGCTAGACCTATAATCGTTCTATCGATTTCGATCGAGATCCCATACGTCGACCCAAAGTCATAGAGAGGGGGGGAAATATAGTTGCAGGTGACGGGAGAGTCATAATTTATCCCAATTGTGTATGGTGGGAGTAAAACTTTCGACATTTGGAAGACTTATAACAGAGTATAACGAGATGTAGCTATAGTAACAAGAATGGGCAGAGGTATTTAAGACGAGAATCTCGTCCTTTCAAGACTCAAGCGATCCCCCTCTTATATAGGCAGGATTTCAAGGCATTTCCGTTCTTACTAAATTTTGGAGCAAGCAGCTGATCATCTCGTGTATGTACATCTACGCCTTCCATTTCCCAGTTCCACTCTTTAGCAAGGCAGACTTCATGTGCATTCAGAATCTGTCCTTGATTCCTGGCATAGATATACATAGGAACGGGGAAGAGCCCTCGATGCGGATTTCTAAGGGAGGCAAGAAAGGGGGAGGGAAAATTAGCGGGGCATAATGCGATTATTCTGATCCTCTGTTATCATTCTTCTTCACGGAATGTCTTCCGCTACACCTCTATCACATTAAATCGATAAGCATACCAGCTATTGATCCAGGGTCTCTGATCACTTGCCACAAGAAGAAGAAGTTATCGAATTAGGTTTAGCGTGTTATTGATCACAGGACCCTTAGTTCTAGCGGGGGATACGTGTGAATTCGCTTATTTGGTCGCAACCTAGGGAAGAACTCTCTACTCCTTGTGTGTTTTTGTAGACTTCGTTGGCTGGAAAAGGATGACATTCATCTCCTAAAGCCTCAAAGATGATTACCCCTTCCATCTATAAAACTGACTCTGGGTGGACGAGGTGGGGAAGATTTTCATCTTGATCTGATCAACCATTTGACACTATCGAGAAAGTTCTGAGGGTCTGTAATGTGTGATGATCGTTACCTTAATGAAACACGCTTAATACTGATCAGAATTAGCCAGAGCTCCTACTGGAGATACATTCCCGCCTCTAAATGCATTCTGGTGGAGAGATTCGGCTTGATAATGCCTTCCATAGCCACCCAACAGCCTCCATAGCCAACTTTTCACCAATCAAAATAGCAGAAAGGTGCCCCTTTCTTGGTTACGAGTGGTTACGCTTGGATAAATCCTACCGGAGGTGATCCGTGAGCTGTAGAAATCCCACAAATCTCACACAAGAGGGGTAATAACGATTACCAAGAGCATGACTTGACTCGATTTGTACTCATAACCCGAACTTCCCCAGTTATTTCTGACCGTTGGCTTTACCTTGGGCTAGATATTGTCAATAAGGTGCGTCAGGATGCACACTGCCTCAATCAGCATCACAAGGGACAGTTTTACTTCCGTACCCGAGATCCAAAATCCCTGAAGAAGAGGGGTATAAGAAGGCAGCTTCCTCCCAGTTATCAAGACATATTCTTCGTCCGTAAACATTTTTTCCCATCAGACACTCTTACCCCCAATGTCTTCCACAAGCATGACACCACCAACCAAGTCTCCAGTGGCCGACGAGCAACTAAACGTAGAGTTCGACTGGTCCTCAGACTCGCACTCATCAACACCTCTCGACTGGGGTTTCCAACCTCCTTTAGACCCGGATTTATCGAATTTCTCAGCTTTTTCAGACATTGATTCCCTTTTTGGGCCCGAACTGAGTTTCGAGGGCCTTAGTCCAAAAACTCAGTCCACGGGAGGAACACAAGAATACCTACCAGAGGAATCCCTTCTAGTGGGGAGTTCCGGTCTTGCAGGTGATGATATTGTCTCGATTACTATACTTGGCTCTACTACCGCGAAACCTTTGGATATTTCGGCCCCAGAATATCTAGAACGTCATACAAGCATCGATGTAGAATCTTCAACAGCTACGGTGCAGACTCGAGAGGTATGATTTCATAACAGACTTTGGCACTTTGATACTAACTGTACACTAGGAGTACATTCTTTCGTTACGGCAAAAGCTGAAGAGGGAGTTTTTTCCTAAGAACCAGGAGTTAACGGAAGATAATATTGATGAGATTTCCTCTGACCTGGGTCGAATTGAGAAAGCCGGAACTATACCACCTAGTATCATTCGGGATACAAAGATCAGAAGGTTGTTCAGGACAATCATAACGCTAGAGATGATCCCAAGGGATAACGAGCTTCAAATTAAGGAACGAGTGAGCCGCTTGCTTACGAGTTGGGCTGAGCCTGCCATCCTCTCGACTACACAAGCTCAATCCAAGTCCGCCCCACCGCAGACGCTCATTGATCTTACTGGAGCGGACAGCGATCATGAGTATGTTACACCTCCCGATACGCCAAAATCTGGGCTCTTGCCCACTTCAAGCACATGTAAGTGTCCATTTATATCTGATCTTCACTAGACTAACAATTGATGGCAGATTCTAATCCATCCATCAGCACCGAGACGAACTCACGCCCTGCATCTAATGGGAATTCCAACACCAAGAAGAGGAAGTCCTCTTTAGTTTCCAGCAATTCAACCACTCCAGGCAAATGTCGGCGAACCCAGCGAGTGACCACGGTAAAACAGCACTTGGCGGATGAAATGCATCACAGCAGTCAGTGGTTGGCAGGGATGGAAAAGAGCATTAATGATTGTGAAGCAGACCTAGTTGCTTTGGAGGAAAAGAAGGCGAGGTTTCTCGCAGAGATTGAAGAAAAGAGGGAAGAGGTTACACGGCGGAAAAACGAGTTCATCGAGTTAAAGAATAGCATGGTGGCCTGGGGGGCCCGTAATGAAGTGGTCTCAGAAGAATGGAAATCGTGTTGGCTTTTTCGCTCGTCTATAAAATGAGACGGTAGCTAGAAATTATAGTCCTTCTCTTCTTATGATCTTGAGATATATAGCGTATGAAGTGTACGAACTGTCTAGTAAACAAATCGCAAATCGCAAAACAAATTTAGTAAAGATGCCACTTTTTGCTTCGCCTACTATACTGCTGGAAAGGCTGGCTTAACTAAATCTTCTCACGTGACACACCTTTCGGAACTTAACTACTCCTTTCGCTACTCTTTCCTCGTTTCTAGGAGTAGATTAAACAAAGATTAACTGGCATAAGTTCTTATTTGTTAGACCGAGAAGGCTATGTATGCCTCAGCTGTATATATTATACTCAACCAGGGGCCATCCACGGTTACACTCTATTAATAGTTTGCTATACCTACGGCAGCTTCGGCTCTAATATTAAAAACTGATTACTCTTCCCTTATCATCAACTTTACTAACAGCTAACTACAGTTCTATTCAGCACAAATTGTAGCAACTCCTATCTCCGTGAGCTGATTTTGAGTCCTAGAAATCATGATGATGGTAGCATTGCTTAATAAAGATACTACGGTTTGTCCCCCGAATTGGAATAAGGGAGCTTCCCAACTATATAATTAGCGGATCTTCTACTATGCGGACGGCTGGGTGGCAGAGGGCATTCTTAACACCCGGTTTTTGACTGGGATGTATAGTGTTGAGTTTGGAGAGTATTAAGTACTGAAGGTCATAGAGAATTGATTGATTCGTGTAGGTAGTCTAGCTAGTGCTATATATAAGGAGTGAATGTTAATAAATAAGTGGTGTGATCACGAAATAAGTGGTCTGATCATGAAATAAGTAAAGTAAGGAAAGTGGCATAATGATAAGTAAGTAGTATTAAAGTAGAAGACGAGAAAAAACAGGGATATTATATATCTAGTACAATATATAGCTAAAATGAAAGGAGTAGTAACATTGCTCTAATACTAGGTTAGGAATTTATTGGGTTGAGAGGGTATGGGGTACTGAAGGTCATGGAGAATTGATTGAATTGTAATAAGTAGCTATCTAAGATGTTTATAAAGAGTGTAGAATGTTTAGGCAGACATGAANGGTTAGGAATTTATTGGGTTGAGAGGGTATGGGGTACTGAAGGTCATGGAGAATTGATTGAATTGTAATAAGTAGCTATCTAAGATGTTTATAAAGAGTGTAGAATGTTTAGGCAGACATGAATTATTATTATTATTATTATTATTATTCCTTTTAACGTGCTGTGTGAGTCTGAGACTATAGTAGCACGGCTGGGGGTTTCCCTCCAGCAGATAACTGAAACTGTACTAAATACATGTGTGAGAAGGGAGTTTTGGTGAATACAGTTATTGGGTTGTTGGAAGCAGCGAGGCTTCTGGTTATGACAAAAGAAAGACAAAAAAGAAAGTGTGTTTTAGTACGCCCCCTGCGTTTCACGCCCTATACCACGTTCATTCTCGTCCTCGTCCTCGTTCTCATCCTCAGCTGCTCGTTGTGTGTGCCATAGTCTAGTGGCGATTTTGGTGGTGCGAAGAAAGTCTAGTGTGGCCTCGACTCCTTTGGTGGTGTGAAGGAGGGATTTCATAGTAAACTCTCGAATGTGGTGTTTGAGGAGGTTACGCTTTAGTGCTTTCCTCGCGTCTCCAGTTTCTGGACAGCTAAGGAGTAGGTGAGTAGGCGTCTCTTGTCTTCCACATCTACAGCGGTTGTTGTTGGTATGGCCAAGCTTGTGTAAGTATGATTTGAAATATCCATGGCCTAGCTTAAGCTGGTAAAAAGCACTGGCTATCTCTCTCTTTGTTCCTTGAGGGACGCAAGGTTTCGACAGAATCTTCCATGGGAATTCCCTCCGATACGAGTGTTGATTGGTTGATGGTTCTGTAGAACGGGAGGGTGTAGCAAGCTTTTGGC